TCGAGCCACGGGACTCACACCGTCGATCTGCCTACTCTCTGGTGTCGGACCACGGGCTCCACACCTTCCTGTCTTCTTAATTCAGGCTAAATAAAACCTGTTTATACCAACTTCTGTCTCCTGTGGTCTTGCTATTGGGTCCTAACCGTGAACTCCCGTGACAGCTTTTCCCCCAGATTAAACATTGCAGCTCCTTTTGTAGGGTGAAATTACTCTATTCACTCAATAGATAAATGTTTCCATCACAAATGGTGACCACTTGACGAATAGATATTCCAAATGCAGTAACAGATTGGAAGAAATCAATAGGATTTACTTTGTTGACAGCAAATCTTTTCTATATTTTATTTATAATTATATTATAAACAGTTTGACAATGTAGGAAATGCACTTGTTGAGAATATTGATCCAGAGCCAACAGACAAAAAGTAAAATAAAACCTCCAACTACCACAAAGTAACACATTTCATCTGTTAATCCCACAGCAAATTTGCTGATCGTACATTTATGTACCGACTCGCCCACTTCGAGTGATTTGAACTGTCGTTACCAGCCTCGTAGATATGGGTTAGAAGAGGCCTGCTACGCCTACTATAGGTTCAGAAGGACGTTATCCTCTATTCACATTGTTGATCTGATGCAAGAACACAACGCCGACCTCTAGTGGTCCTTAGTAACAGTACTTATTATGACAGGAGCAAAGGAGTAAGTCAGGTGACAGGAGGGACATGGTAGCTTTACATTCACACTCTTAATGAGGGCCATTAGCAAAGGAGAACTCAGGTGATGAATGGGTCTAACAAACACAGGACTTTCACCCAGGGGATCGCTGTTTGTGTTTCTTATTTTAACCTAAAACAATCTTTCCCCTGAACCTAACCAGACAGTTTTGTTCCAGTGAACGTTTACGCTATGCTAATCACCTCCTGGCTCAAACTCCATATTTAATGCACAAACACAACCCAACCTTTTCATCTAAAAAAAGAGGGGAAAAAAGATTAAAAAGACTAAACAAAGAAAATATAAGTTAGCTTTAGTTAGGCCTGCTTCCAGCCTTTATGCTAATCTAAAATAATCCCATCTAACACACACATGAGTGAAAGGTTTCAATCTTCTAATACAACTCTCAGCAAGAAAGCCATTAAGTGTGTTCATCAATATGTTGAACCGTTCTGTTAACCAGGCGTTCAATTGAAATTCAACGGTCTCTGCACTATTGTGTGTGCAATAAATTATCTACGTATCCATCTATCTTCAGTATTGGTTGGAGGCGGCGACAAAAGAGAATAAAGCGCTCGTCCTTTGAAGCCTCGTATACCATCTCTCTGCATTCATCATCCCTCTCTGTTCGTATCCTCCACCCTCCCACTCACCCAGCCCTGTGATGTACTGAAGAGGAGTGAAACCAGCTGGACACTGAACAACTGAAGGACAGAGAGCTACCTTCATCTATTCTCCTCCGCTGCCTGCTTTGTTTTCTAGGTGCGTGTCGTTTGCAAGTCCGACCGTGTCACTCGTCTCTTTTGTGCACCAGAATTAGCTTAGTCCATTCACACTGCACCAGGAAACGTCTCCGCTCTGACTTTGTCCTTCACCTGTGACACGACTGCGGTGTCTTTTAAACAGCAGGCAGCAACTAAAGAAAAAAAAAAACGTCTGTCTGAAATAGTCGAGCGGAAGAAGCAAGGATATGAAAAATGAGCTTTTTCAAAGATTGACATCTTATGTGAGTTTAAATCAACGAACAGATATGAGCTGTCGTTAAAATAAATGAGATAAAATGAGCTTGTCAGTTATGATAATATCAAGACAAATATATGTTTTTATCATCGTTTTGCAGACATTTTTCATCCAAATGTGTGCGTAATGGGAGTAAAGATGGAAATCAAGTGGCTGCTTATCCGATGATTCGTGGGTGAACACGATGTGGATTTAAAGAAAGATATACAGCTCAAACACATTTAGTAGCTTAAGATTGTTGACACAGGGATGGAGAGCTGGTCATTCTGGATTCATATTAAAAGAAGAAGATTTCCTTTTGAAATATGCCGTCAGCCTTTCTTCTCTGGAATAAAAATTGTCTGCTCATGACTTCAGTCAGATCCTAATCATTCGTTGTCCCCGTCGTTAAAGATCCAGATACGCCCCTGTGCTCTGAAGTAACCCCATTCTCCTCGTCAAACCATCTCCGCCCACTTACTCACCTGCTCCCCATTTCCCTGATTAGTCTTGCAGTATATAAACCGGTCCATCGTCGCTGTCGGGTTGTCTAGTGTGCCTGCCTGGTCTGGTCTGGTCTGGTCTAGTCTAGTCTAGTCTAGTCTAGTCTAGTCTAGTCTAGTCTAGTCTAGTCTACTGCACTGCACTGCACTGCCTGACCCCCACAGTTTGATTATTCTGAGAAACTTGGACTTTTATCTTACCTGCCTGCCTTTCACTCGTGTTTTTGTTTTATTTTCTGAGTCGTCACAGTTGTATCTCCTGGGCTCGGACCACATGAGTCATATCCATTCTGTTAAATCTGTTTGTAACATCTGAAAGAGTCCAGCATCAGTTTACCTGGCTGTTATTCTACTTGTGTCCATTCTGACTATAAGTCATGCTAGATTTAAAATATTCAGGAAGAGCAAAACAACCTCAGTAAACAAAAGATGTAAGCTAACTGCATTGGGATTATGGTACCAGTGGGGAAACTTGCCGGCTAACCAAAGTAGCTGCCTCTTCATCTGTTTGTTTATACATGTGAGACTGCGGGTCGCTGTGGATTTAGCGAGATTGCAGAGAAGAAATAGGAAAAAAGGTTTGTTATTGCCTTCTGAGGGAATTCAAGAAAATTGGGAGCTGTTTTTCCAGTGGACCGTCATATCCTTTTGCAGTTAGCTATTCAAGTCAATTTTATTTACATAGCCCGATATCACAAGGGGCTTTACAATCCGTGCAGCTATACCGGGGAACTCATGTCTGACAACCGTTTCATGCATTTATGCTAAACTGAAGTTTCATCCTGCAGCTGAGCAAGAACAAACTGTGTAAAAACAAACTGCAGCTTAAACTTTATTCAGTTACTTTCTCGTTTTTTTTTTTTTGTTTCGTAAAGATCAGTAATGAAACTGCGGTACAACAGCAACAAAAACACATGTGATATTCAGCCTTACTCCTGCAAAAACAGCACTGTCATGCGTTGCTGCTTGATTACATGCACACTCTTAACGAGGGCCATTAGCTAAGTAGAACACACTTTACTCATTTCATTCTGCTTTGGCCAGAGGACAAGATGAGAATGATATCACCCGCTAATGTGTTTGCAACTCATTCGTCATACTTTGTTTTCATTCCCAATAATCACTGATGTAGAGATCAGCTGCAGATCTCCAGAGCAGCTCTTACCTTAGCTGTGGCCCTCGCCTGGTACTCTGGGCAGCCATTCACTGTAATGGTTTCATGCATGTACTGGTACACCTGGAATGAAATGAAGAGAGACAGGTGTTATAATTATGTTTCACGTGGTTGCCCTGCGCCTGAGCCCAAACAGCACATTTCCACAGTCAAATAATGGTGTTCCTTCACAGCTGGCTGTACAGAAACGAACTGCGTTAACAGAATGACTGAGGAAAAACACCCACCATGCAGGCCCAGAGTTACTTTGTGCTAGCGCTAATTGCATCACCCACAATCTTACACATTCAAACAATACGCAAATCCTAATATTTGCGTCCAAATGCATTCGTATAGGTGAGTGCAAATCAAGTTTAGTAACACGTTGTAATCCCTTTGAAATGTGAAGACATCAGCAGCGAATATGTGGACGAGAATTTAGTGAAGCCGCTCAGAGAAGATAAGAGGATATTTAAATTACCGTATTAAGGATGTTTTAGGGTGGGAGGGTATCAGCCTTGAAGATAACATAGTCTTAACAAACTCGAGCTGAATGGTGCTCTTTATTTGTGCATTGCCTTTGTATGAAGAAGAGGCGACTGTGGCTCAGCGGTAGAGCGGGTCGTCCTTCAATCACAGCTAGTCAACGTCGATGCGTCCTTGGGCAACACACTTAACCCCAAATTTGCTCCCGTATTCTGTGCCTGCGGTGTATGAATGGGGTTTGAATGCTAGTTATTTCTGATGGGCACCTTGCATGGTAGCCCCTGTCATCGGTGTATGAATGGGTGAATGACGTGTAGTGTTAGAAAAGCGCTGTACAAGTCCATTTACAATTTACCATCAATTAGAATAAATAAGAGAAACTTGTAACTCTTACATGTAGCTCAGGAAATTGAGGCACAATATCATCCTGAGACCTTAATGCACAGCACAAACAGCCTCCAGAACAGATCATAAATTACTGCTGGGCCTGAGCCGGTGCCAAGACACGGGTTACTGTAGAAAAACAAGGTTTTCTGTCTGATACTGCATGTCAAGTTGGGTGAAAAACAAGCTTTTATTTGCTGAGGCAGACAGAATCAATGCACACAGCTGACCTTTCCAGTTAAGATGTGTCTTTTAAAGACACCTAACAACCAAAGTTGTTCAAAGGATAAAAGCAAGAAGATAGAGACAGCTGCGAATGAGGATGTCTGGTTAATATACTGTAACACTCATGTACATCTCCACCAGACCAGTCAATACTGCAGCTTAAAACCAGTCAGATCTCTCCAATGCTAATGGAGATGAGAGTGAGATGTATGGGCTGATTACAAAAAGTTTCAGAGGAAATGTTTTTTGCTGAGTCGGTGCAACTGACTCGATGAAACACACAAATTACTGCAAAGATGACATGATTTCAGCAGACGAGTTTTTCTCAAACACATCTAATTATTTTACATTTTACATTGATTGCAGTTTCAGTTCATTGAGCGAACAAGCAATCAGATTCTTATCAGAGTAATGACAAAATGCAAAATCAACTCTTCTCTCTGACTTACAATATATGTTGTGGCTCAGAAATGAATTCTAATCATCTCTTTCCACTCACGACATGATTTCTCTCATCAAAGCGTGGCGGCGAACGCACCCGATGGCTTTGACGTGCAACCCTACAAAAGGCCTCGCTTCTCTGAACCATCAAAAGGATGTATACTTATAAGATACAAACCCTCCGATATTTGTATGTAAAGATCTCAGAGATGGGTGGAAGAAAAAAATATCCCTGAGCCTCTGTTGTCTTGTTTGCTCATGAATCTCAAAGACCAACTGAGAGTGCAGCTCTACATTTCAGACTTACAACACATTTATAGCGCTGATGCATTCGGGGGGAAAAGGAGCCTGCAGTTTACAAACACACACACTCAGCTCCCAAATGGTACCTTTACCCGAGGACTTCTTCCACCTTTGCACATTTTGAGGCTGAGCACAGCCTTATAAATGCCATGAAAGGCTTTTCTGGCCTCAGTGTGCCTGCAGACTGGCTTCCTTATTCCCTCCGTTATTCTTAGTTAACTACACCTATTTATTCTACCTGCAAAAAGTCTCCCATTCCGAGCACCTCGTCTTCATCTATATGTTAAAGTAATGACTTTTGGGCCTTGAAACATTGATCTCTGTTACGTAAATGTTGAGCAATGAGTGTGTCAGCTGCAATACCCATGCAATATTTGGTGTTAAAGGAGGCAGTGCTACAATGGGGAGTTAAAGAAGAGCGTTCTCATTTCTCTCACAGGGTGCATTAGGGATGGATTTTATAAATGTTGCAGTTGAAAGCTTAATTAGTGAGCATTGTGAGTGCAAGGGAAGCTCGCTAGTTTTGCCTTCTTTCCCCATTCATTAGATGGAATACACAATACGATACATAAGACATGAGGTGTGACTCTCTTCTAAGTCCTACCTTCTCACATATTGATACTGCACTACACTGAGAGCAGTTACACTGAACTATACCAAAGCAATCCATTGGCGGGCCAGAAAACCAAAACTCTGAGCTGATAGATGCTAAAACGCTAGGTAGCGACCCCTTTCACATACACATGGTAATATGATCTATCCATCTATTTTAGAAATGCAGTTTTTAAATTCTGTTTTTCACACATACAATTTTTTGCGCATAAGAAATGATAATTCACTGAGAAATGTATTACAGTGAGTGCTCTAAAGGGGGCGAAACGAGACGCACATTTGATATCTCTCAGCGCATTTAACCTGAATGCTGTGCCCTGAATAACAGACACGTAACAGACCAAATAGCTGTGTGCTTTTGAATGTCCGTCTGCTCTTGTTGTGGCTGCACTTTGCTCTAAAGAGGCCAGTTGTCCTGCAGGCATCTTTTCAATTACCCTTCTGCTTTTTATCTCTTGGCAGACGTCCTCACTGCCCCATCCCTTCCACACTCACACCACCAGTCCACCCTCTCCTACATGTTTCCTTTTTACCACGCATTGTTCCTTGATAGGATAGCGGCACTGGCTGCTACAAGGAGGACGCCACAAAGCCAGAGAGCAGAGGAAGATGCCTGCGGGGCCAACTGACATGACAACGCTGCTTGTAACCATGGCTTCCTGCTTCCTCTACTGAGTCAGCGAGACGGTGAGGAGGGAGGGAGGAGGGAGGGAGGAGAGAGGGAGGGGGGACGGGTAAGCCTGGTTGGAAAAGGATGAAAACCAGCACAGGACTTAACAATACACTTCCCGTCTTCCTGGTGCTAACTCTGACACAGAGGGACTGAGTTAATGCCCCTTTCATCCTTTAACTTAATGTGCCGTGGGAGGCCGAGGCACCGGGATTGAAATCAACGCAAATCCTCCGCCCTCGTTTGTTTTATTAAAAAAAAAAAAAGAGAGTAAATTATGTTGATTGAAAATCGCTGCCGAGGTGGAAAATCAACTGCAATGTTAAAGCTGATGAAAGATGCCATCGCTCTGGCCCAGCTTTTTTTGCACTTCCTGTGTTCGCCAAGTGGGACTCTTTAACCCAATAAACTGAGAATTCCCACTCTCCATCATTTCCAGCTGGTTAGCTCTTCCAGTCATTTCGTCTTGTGTCCTTCCTTTCCCATTTGCAAGGCTGATTGACCCTGACAACTCATTCAGGCTGATGCAGTGAGACTCTCCCCCCCCCCTTCGTCATTGATGAACGTGGCGGGGAAAGACAGCCAGCTCATCAAACTCTGTCTCTTTGTCATTTAGCCCAACACTGCTGAACAGACTCTTCTCCCTGCTATCCATTCCTCATATTGACAGCTAGCCTGTCATCCTTAACAAGGCTGATTCATGTTCGGTATATTCTATTGTCGTAGACGTATAGAGTGCAGGATAAGGTTTGGAGGTGGAGATACAGATGGGGTTTTCACTATATGGATAAGATTAGTATATCCGTCTTGTCAGGCTGTGCGTCGGCCCTCCAGATTGTGAAATGAGCTACATCGCATGTGTGTGTGTGTGTGTGTGTGTGTGTGTGTGTGGAGGAAGGAATCATATCACAGATTGAGAGAAAGGTCATCTGTAATAATGAAATGTCACAGAGGTCTGTGTGATCAAAATGAACAACAGGAGGGTTGGACTCAGTTTAACCTATGTTTTAACGCTCTTTTAACTTGCGGGTAGTTAACACTGATGGATGACATACAGGAAGGAGAAGTGAGTGGAGTTCAAATGAATTAGAAAAACAACGGCTGGAGGAGGTGGAGGAAACTGTTCACATTAAAGGACTATACCAGAGGGTTTATTTTATTAAATCTGTTTACTACAAAGCATATGGTATTTTTTTAGAGGGCTGGATGAGTGAATTGTTCCTCTTGCAGGTGGCTACTTCATTCATATTCCTGTTATTATGATATGAAAGTCATCTTTCAGTGACTTGAGATTGGTATTCCACGTTTTGTGAGTCAAGTTATGAAGCAGAAGCTTTGCATAAAACCAGAGAAATGATTGAGAAATAAATCAAGATTGAACACAAGGCAATTTCGTGATATCTTGAGTCCTCTTTGGTCTCGAGACCGATCTACATCACTACAACCCTGCGGATGTGAATGTCTCCTCTAATGGTTTCGGTACTAACAGTTCATCGGAATAACCAGCTGTTGAGACCTGTGATATTTCACGACAAGAACTCTGCGTAGTAACAATAATAGCCTACATTGTGCAATGGCCAGCACTTACAACCTGTCCTCCAGCTGGCTCAGCACCACAGCAAGAAGCTGTTGTATCATCGGCTCTCACAAACCTGTAATCGACTACAGTCAGCCTCTCTGCAGCCCACTTATCCCAGAGCAGCTCTGGTGGTTTCCCTGGTGACTGTGTTTAGCCAGCTCTTTGTGGGTGAAGTGGTCTGCATCTTTGCCTCTTGGAAAAGGGCATGAGCTGCTGCTGCTAAGGCCCTTTTCAGAGGGTTTTTGAGAGTCATTGTGAACAGAGACTGGCACGGAGAGATCACTCAGCTGGTTTTCAGGCGTGCAGTTGGTGTCTGGATGTGCCAGGTTTCCCCGAGAGGGCCGGTGCAGATCTGGACCCAGCGAGACGAGAAGACTAGTGCTTTTCTTCCTTTCTGTCACTTTGCATGATGTCGAGGTTTTTACGTAATGCTCTTGTCAGAAGCCATTTCTACTAATCGGTGTCATTACAGTGTTGGGTGACCTTTTCATAACGAGGTGCTACCTGTAAACAAAGCTTCTAATGAGTTTCTATGAGAAATATGCAGAGAAGACTATAGAAATGATATGTGCATTACTTTGCAGCAGTGTTGAAGTACATAAATGGATCCTCTTTCATGTTTTTAAGTGCCAAACACAAAATCTTATGGCTTAAAAAGTGAGTTTTGTAAACCAGAGATCTCAGCAGCTGGCCTAGAATTCCTTAAATCAATACTCCGAAAACATATTACGGTTATTTTATGCTCTGACGTAGTGCAATCTAAATCCAAATGCCACTTTAATTCTCAACACAAAAACGTTCTGATTGTCTGCTAATTGTCTGCTTTCATTCCAGGACAAATTACGTGTTCACATTGTTGACAATTAACTTCCAAAAGAGATGCCATCGTGGCATTTGTCATCTGTCTCTCTGCTCCTCAAAGTCATGTTTGCTTAACTGATACATGGCTCTGGGCGATGCTGCAGTACATCACAACAGACAGGACGCTAAACATACGAGAGCTGCTGCCATCAGCCGCTGCTTTGCACCCCGGCTTCCTGATGAACGGTGTTAAGATGATGGATCAGTGGGTGGCCTTTCGTGTGCATGTGAATGAAAGTGTTCAAAGCAAAAGGAGGAAAACTCCTGTTTATGAGTCACACTTAATTCCCTCCCTGTAAAATGTGATTAAAACCAATCTCTAACAGTGATTTGCTTGATTAAAATTCAATGTAACGAGCTTATCAAACCTTCAAGTTAATGTAATGCTCGTAATGCTTTATGGCCTCGTGATCATTCGACTGTTCCCTGCGAATTTGTAATGCAGTCAAAACTTCCCTGTTGCTGTTCAGCTCCAGCAGTAATAAAGCGGAGCAATAATCCCACATTTTCATTATGCTGCGGTCCTTTTTGATTCATGTAACTTAAAGGCACACTCTCAGATTTTGTTGTTTTATCGCCACAATTTCTCTGAGTTGCTGAGTTTTAAAACATCACCAGTGATCTGGGAACACATTTTGGCACCACTGTATACTACAATAAATGAGTGATATATCTTTCACTTACAGCAGAGCCAAGTCATGGAAAACCTATATTAAAATCTTTTTCATAGCAGCCAGTTGCACCTGCTAATCACAAATTTTGCTGCAACTTTTCTGCTAAATTCTACTACACTAAATGTGCCACTTAATTCACTTGCCGTGCATCTAATTATACAGCACTATAACCTAAATTGACTGCAACCAATGTGAAACTTTCATCCTGTGCAGGATTCTGGTAATAAGAGAGAAGGCAACTAAATACATCGAACAGATAAAGTCCTGTGTTGGCTGAGTTTAAGATGCTGTCACTGACGTACTGTAAATATGGCCATAAACAATACCAACATCGCAAAAAGCCTGCAGATAACTTCCTTCTTAGCATAAAGTAATCTGCAGAAGTCAACGCTTCACATTCCTCGACTGCGAAACATGTAATTTTACTTTTAAAGAGAGATCTGAGTCTCTCTAGTGTGTTTGTTTCCAAGCACCCATTTTCAAAGAACGTTGAAGTTGGAAAATATGGCATTACTCTAACGAGCCCAGTCTAACGGGACATTTTAGATACAGGCTTGAAAGTCGATGGAAAGACATGAAAGGGCCCAAAACACATTTCTGCCTTGGGCAGCTCAAACTGAAGTTGGAGTTAAAAATGAGTGAACATTTTGTGTTGTGTTTGTATCTCCTGGTACTTTATGAAAGTACTTTATATTGAAAATATACAGAGATGACAAGAAAAAAAGAGAAAGGCTCCAGGGAAATTTAGTTTCTGGTGAGTTCAGCCAGAGACTGAGCAGAACACACATGCACACATCACTTACCAGCCTTATTCTGCCCATTATTTCGAAACCCTATTAGTCCGAAAGATGTCCCATAGGAAACGACATTTGTCTGCCGGCTCGTTATCCCTAAAACAAACACCCATTTCTCTAAATGACGCACTCTCTGTATAACAAACAAAAGCAAATGGCTATTTTAATGCGGAATGACATCATCAGATCTTCCCAATTTGTTTCCTACTAGCTAAGGCATGACCCGCTACTCTGCCTCTTATTACACGGTGCCTTTATTGGTTGGGTTGGTTGGGTTCAGGCATGAGGATTGAGATCAGTTATGTTTAGGATAAGAACATCAGGGTAAGCCAACCAGAGTAGGGCAGGTTATGCCTTTGACATGGTAGGGAAATAATGATTGCGACAGGCAAGGTCTGTTGATAATAATTAGCCATTTGCTTCTGTTTGCTGCACAGAGAATTTGTATTTTCAGAGCAAAGGGCCTTCGGAACAAAGTAAAGTAACTACAACAATATGTTCAAGCAAAGCTATATGGCTACTAGACAACAACTTGCTGTTGTCCAGTATTTCTTCAGTGAAAGTGATGGTAACAAGGTCTTGACTCCACAGCAACCATGACCAAACAGATTAAAGAACTTCATCAACAGCAACACCAAGGACAAATCATCCCAGTATACCGAGCACACTGATTGATTGGAAGAGCACTGCAACAAGGAGTGCAAGCATGAGAAAGGTCATCAAAAAAAAGAAAAAGGAAAGAATAAATAAATAAGAAAAAGAGTGAGAAGGCATGAGTCATGTTGGTGTTCACGGACCAGCGGTTCCCTCCCTTGACAGTGACTCACCTCTCGGATGGCTGTGCAGAACTCACTCTGAAGGACTTTCTTGAGAGACTGGAGCTTGTGTCCGGGCACGTCACCCGACTCCTGCAGCTTCTCCAGCAGCTCGATAGCCCTGGCAACATCTAGCAGAGAGAGAGGGACGGAGAACGGGTGTGAGTGTAATTCTGTGTCAGGGCCCTCGTGCCAAGGGGACATAGAGGAGGAAAAAAACCCACCCCCTTCAATTACATTAACGGCACAGCCAACGTGAAAGACGCAGGAGCGAATCAATGGGTGGGATAATGGAAATAGATTCCGCCAAGGCCAGCTGGGGCAAGAAAGATAGAATAGCAATCCCATCCGTGGATCGTTTGCGTTGGCTTAGCTTCATGCATGAGAATAGGGAAGAGAGGGAATAACTCATCTGTTCAAAGGTAACACTTCTTGGAAAGAGCGATGCATTACAAGGCATTTACACTAAACCTAAGCCTCAAGTTAGAGGCTGTGACTCTGGGGTCTGCTGAGCTCTCTGTCCCTTAGTAGCTTGAGCTCAATGAGTCTGCCAGTTTGGCTGATTCATTTCTCGCCCTCTGAAACTGGCAGACTGAATAGAGATACATAACGGAAGGAGAGGGAAGATATGTGGTACTCAATCACTGGACTTGGACTGTTGGTTCAATAACATGCTTTATTCAGCTTGTGTGTCCAGAGACCTGCGACCACACAAAGAGGGATGATTGGCGCAGTTTGTCAGTGGAGCTGTTGACTTATACCCGCTCCGTTCCAAATTCACATCAAAATAAATTGCGCTTGTTGTTGCATGCACCCCGTGATAAGGCTGCAACTAGTTTTATTGTTGACGTCTGTTGATTATTTGATTAATCTTTTAATCTTTTAGTCTGTAAAATGTCAGCAAATAGGTTCCAGTCACCGGTTCCAAGACTCATGGGGTGTTCTTCAAATTGCTTGTTTTGTCAGACAAAACAGTCCAAATGCTCAAAATATTACAAAAGTATAAAACAGTAAAAACACTGATAATGTTAACACTACACAAAGAAATGTTTTAGCTCTTGTGTGAATAAAGTTTTTGTCCACGTAGTCATTTGGAGTTGTGTTTCCGTCCACTTGACTAATGCAAGTCCAATATTTACTCTCCCTTCAGCTCTGTCTTGCTCCACAACAACTCCTGAGGGAAATATCTCTTAAGCTGCTAAATGCTCCTCTATGTTCACCAGATAGTCACAAAGTAATTTTGAGCTGTCGTCAATGCAAACATATTGATTAGAGCAGCACTCGCAAAGTTAGTTTCCGGAATGCTTTTAAATCTATTTAATTTAGATCCAAACAACTTATTTATTCATTTTATTGAACATTATTTCCCCCCAGCAAACAGATATCCCACACTTTATTCTGCTGCCGGTTAATATTCATGTCACTCCACCAAGCAAGTGAGTGAGCTACACATGCTTGTGCATCATATGTATGCAGGAAAAATGGTTTTTCAACAACTAGACATGACTCGTGTTCCTCTACAGCAATCAAGTACCAGAAAAACTACAATTTTGACAATAGAAATGCATAAAAGAATTTGCAGCTTCCATGGAAATAATTGTTGCTAGCAGCCGTAATGACAAGCATAGTTGATCCGACGGGCCTTATGTCAACAGTAAAATAATGAATTCTAAAATCAGGCGTCATCATAACAAGCAGTAAGTAAATACAAACCGACTAATCAGTTTCTCAACACTGTCGTCTCACTACAAGGCTGTATGAGTGTGTCTTCTCACACAGTACACAGTGATAAATTGTAGGTAGAGGCCTCACACTGACAATATTGAATTGTGGGAATATGGCAGTAACTCAATAAAGCAGTCGTCAGACAGAGGAGCTTTTACTGTTTGGCAGACCTGTGGGAGACAAGACAGGAAGTAGTCTCCGGATCTGACTGTGTGAATACTCTATAAGGCCATAAAAAGGAAATGTGCAGTGGAGACACTGAGCAGAGAAAACCCATTGCCTGTTTCCACTTCAGGCGCTCGGTAATAAAGCGCTGGATTATATTGATCTGCTTGAAATTGCAAGGTCAGTTCCCATCGAGACCGCTTACGGCTCATGAGAACTCGTCCAACGGGAGTTGTATTGGCAGATGTGAGCTGGCAACGAGGCGAGTCATCGTGATGATAGTCCGCTGTTAATCAAACGACTCTATACTCATGTAGAGAACGTCACAGGTATGTGTATGAAATTAAACACAATGTTAGCTATAACTGTCACCGGTTCCAGTGCTCTGATCCTGCTCGTTATTCCCAAGTCAACCTTTTGCTAAGCCCCACCCCCTTAGTCGCTGTTGCTACGACAAGCTCTCTGTTCTTGCACAACATGATGATAACAGATTTGCCACTTGAAGTTTAGTATTTTTTTAAACAATGGGTCCTTGATTTAATTCAGAAAACACTGTCTTATTATAGGTCTGGGTGATATGGCCTATATGAAATCAAGGACAGAAGGAGACAGGGCCAAACCACCAACCTTGATGTTAAAGGACGACCCGCTCTACCCCCTGAGCCACAGCCGCTCACAAGCAGATGAGTATTTAATAAAGTACTTTTGTTACGGAGCAACTTGTGTTGGCCTCCTGGCAAACACAGGTCCAGTATTCGTATTCTAATTCATCATCGTTTTAAAGAGCTGATAGTGTGCTAAGTATGCCATATTGATATTTTCTATAAAGGTTTCCGGGTCAGTTTTTTCCCCCTATATGCCTGAATATCAAAAAAACACAGATTCCGAAGAGCTTGTAATGAGCTGGTACACTTCCCAGCAGCAAGGGCACCTGCTCGGAGGTTTATGAGCATTTCTCTCTCATTAAACGGAGGTCAGGGGTCATCCAGGAAGGATTTTTTCCCTCCTCTGAGCCGTTACTTGCTTTCACATGCTCATTAGCACCGTTTTCTTTATCCACATCAAGGACATTCACTCGGCGTTTGGAACTTGACTTCAAAGATTGATATTGCAGATATTTTTCGGTGGTTTCATCTCGCTGATCAAAAGTGATGCCTACTCATTTCCTGATATAATCTTTCTAACTTGAATTTGGGTAATTGTAAATTGCATCAGCTTCAGACAGAGGAGATATTCAATTAAATGTTTAACTATTGTAATACTGACAGCCTGCTCCGGTCAATATATGTCATGTCCCTCTGCAGTTTTATCCCAAAGTAAGTGATTACAGGTGACCACACAAAATGAGTGGTAATAATCATAAAGCCCTCCAGTGAACACGCAGCAGCTCAGAGGTAATCAGAGGTCTGCTGGCACATTTACTGCTTCCAGTGATATCTAATCTATCAGCAAAGATATTCTGCTTCCCTGTCGCACTGTTTTCCAATTCACACAGGAGATACTGTCGTGTAAACGTGTAAACAAATCAAAGCACGATCTTGGTGTTGCCTGAAACCAGGTCTGATAAACTGGCCACATGCCTGATGGATGATTTGCAGCACATGATTTTGTGCAGTTCTGAGCCAAATGTCCCATGAGTGCACTTCAATACCCACCGCTCTGCACGCTCGATGCAGAAGTGGGACATCGGAAGAGCTGTGTGACTGATCAGTGATTGTGTTCCATGACGGAGCGGCTGAGATGACCATAGGGGGATCACAGGTACGTCACATTAACAGGGGAAAGGATTCCCGAATCAGATGAGCAGCGAAATAACATACTACATTACTGCATTACCTAATAGTCTGTGGGAGTGAGAGGGTGGAGAAAAACAAGCTCCTGCATGACCCTCTGCACTCCGATAACACTGGTATAACCATGGTGGAAGACCACACTCATCTCGTGTTATACCTAGCTGGCTGACGGAACAAATGAAGCAGAGTTGAAGATAACACTAAGTATGTGCTCAACACCCACATGGTGTGCCTGTTTTATGCACATGCTATGAATAACTTCAGCTGGAGGGTGAGACAGGGAATAAAATCCCACCCGTGACTAGCCAACGCTGCTATGCAACAACAACAACAACATGCATGAACACCGCTGATTTATCACTTTTACAATATGTCACAGATACATAATAAACTGTATTTCAATCGTTATTGACTACAGCGGTGGTGGAACAAGCACTGTGTTGAAGGTACTTGTACTAACTTCCGGGGCTGACCTACAAAATGTTGTCATCACAGCGTCACGTTAAATGCTGGAGAGTATGCCAGGCAGGCAGACACACAGCTGACAACCTAACTGATGCATGTGTCCACAACAGAGCAATCAATATCGTGGCTGCTAACTCTTCCGGACGGGTGAACTGGGGACTCATTCGCCTTTTTTGTGCATAAACTGCAGCTGGTAATAGATGATGGCTTTAACCTGTTTGTGCATCCGGTTATTGTTGTAGCTTATCGGCTTGTTAGGGACTTCAACCGCAGCACCCCTGCACGCAAGGCACTAAACCCTGCCGGGTAACGAGGGTCGGCTATCGAGCACAATCAATTGCACTGAACATCAATGTGACTTCTCATACATTTGACATTGGGCCATATAGAACATGTTGTTTTTAATGCATCTTAACTTCCGCCAGCACGGATTCCGGCCACTTTGCAGCGGTGACATCCTGCTATAGCTTCATATAGCCAACTTGATGGTCTATTTACACATCCAGCAGACACAGAACAACATCAACATTCAGTTGGAGTTGTGTCTCCGGCCACCTGACCAATGGTAATTCAATATTCACTTATTTTGGGTCCAGCGACTCCAGAGGGAAATTTCTGACTCTTTAGCTGCTAAATGCTCCCCTTTATTCACCAGCTAGTCGCTAACTTTGTCTGCCTGCTGTTTGCTGCTGAGCAGGTAGTGTACAGCAGCTTTCAAGAGCTATTCTTGTTGTGGGTCATAACACCAAAACAATAAGCTAAACAGTTTGAATGCTCCTTATCTGTCAGATGATAACTCTCTGTGGGTTCGTCATGCATTGCAATTCAATCCGTCATTAATACAAAAATATTGACTATGCACCTTTGACTAAATCTAAACCTTAATGAAAAGCTGAAACTACATCTTAACTAGAACTACAGCAAACGCACTCTGAAAACTAAAACTCTGAAAATTCAAAAATAAAATAAAATAAAAACTCTTATAACCTGTTTGCCTCACTTCTGCATTTTTAAGGCCGTCTTCTTGAGCTGCTACGTGAGTAAAATATTTGAACACTTCTGCCACCGCTGGACTTCACAATGATCCTCACCAAACCATTTTCACTAAAAACACAATGGAGAGAAATTCAGTTCAGC